CTAAGAAACACAGGGTCAAGTAGGCTTACGGAATAAAAGACAAAGGCATCTCTTTTGGCAAGTGTCATGCCCCAGAGCAGTAATTATCTCCCTCTTCCCGTGAGTGACAGGAAATGAAGAGGGGTGCCATTACATTATGAGAATTACTGTAATTTTGATTTCTAAAAATTGCCAGGAAAGTTTCCTCTTAAAATAAATAAATAAAAACAGATTTTTGATGTGGTCTCAGTTTTAAACTCATTCCTCAGCTAAGACAGAGCTTTGCTTCCTTTCTCCCTGTTAACAGGTTGCCCAAGGAGGTTGTGGTTGCCCCATCCCTGGAGGCATTCAAGGCCAGGCTGGATGTGGCTCTGGGCAGCCTGGTCTAGTGGTTGGCGACCCTGCACATAGCAGGGGTTTGAAACTCGATGATCATTGTGGTCCTTTTCAACCCAGGCCATTCAGTGATTCTATGATTCTTGTGGGGAACTGGTCATGAAGTTCAAATGGTGAGAAATTCAAAGTTCTTCGTTAAATGAGAATGTAAACAGCTATAGGGGGTCATTTAAGATCTACAAAAGATTGAGGTTGCCTGAAGACATGTCGCTGGTGCAATAATAATGGAAAGCACGGGTTATCCCAGCTAGGTACTGCCAGAGAAAGGTACTTAGGAGCCCAAGTTTTTCAGTATAGTCTGATGTTTGACTAAATATCACTTGAACTTAGAATCACAGAATTGTAGGGGTTGGAAGGGACCTCCAGAGATCATCGAGTCCAACCTCCCTGCCAAAGCAGGTTCCCTACAGCAGGTCGCACAGGTAGGCATCCAGGCAGGTCTTGAACATCTCCAGAGAAGGAGACTCCACCACCTCCCTGGGCAGCCTGTCCCAGTGCTCCATCACCCTCACAATCATCAAGGTTAGAAAACATCACTAGGATCATCAAGTCCAACCTTCATCCTATTACCACTACACCTACTAAACCATGCCCCTAAACTTGTTTCAACCACAGACATAGTAACACATTCCTCTTTCAATGGGAAGGGGATGATGTGAAATGAAAAGTAATTAAGAAATAATTAAAAAGAAAGATTCCTTTAACCGCCTATGGATTTTCTGCCGGCTATCGTTTATTACTTCAATATTATGGATAATCTGTTCTGTGCTATTAGAACATTATCACAATTTATTACCCCAGCTGTTGCCCTGTGGGATGTACTCATCCCAAGAGGATATGCAGCTGCCCAACCTCGTCTACATCTGACTGTGATGCCCTGGGCTCTTCATTACTGCTTGGGGGTCAGATGCAAAAAACACCCCCTTTGTCTCCAGAGGACTCTTTGTATGGAAACAGGAATGGATGCTTTGCATGTAAGTGTATCTATACAGTGGGACAAAGTGGAGTAGGGCTCCACAATCCTTATGGGTCCTTTCCAACTTGTGATTGTCTATGATTCTATGATTCAAGACATGTTACACAGGCAGGAACTGGAGGCAATCATCCCAGAGTCGGTATATCACCAAATACACCACTAACTCTGCTGCATGCCACATCAGCATTTCTCACACATGCACAGAGAAACAGAATTGCTGCTTTTCAGGATTACTCTGTGCGCTCTCTTAATGAGACATCTGAGGTCTCATTCTGGCCACCTGGTAAATATTTAAAACCGCTTTAATACATTCAAGGGAAAGAGATTTTTTCAATTATTTACCACAACTCATTTTCAACAACGATCACTTAGCATTGCAAAAATTTGTGTCTTTCAATACGTAACCCAGCTACAGAACTACATTGATCGGTCTACACACAAATACATTCATACCAACATATATTTGATTAAGAGTTTGTACAACGTCAGGCTTCAAGGAATTTTGGATCAATGCCTTTACTTTGCTGTTATAAATAAGTAAACTCAATTAAACATTTCTTACAGCAAATCACAATGGGCAGGAGAATCATTCTGCAGCTCCTCTTTCCAATTTTTACCTATTACATGGATTTCGGAAACTAATTACTCTCTAAAGGGAACTTACTAGAGTTTGTGTTACCAAACACATCTCTCCCATCCACCAATCGAAGAGAGGAACTACATGAATGCGTTGAAAAAACAAGTGCCCTTCAATTCTCTCATAATTTGCTATAATAAATGCAGCATGCAGAAAGTAAAACAAAAGACCTGCAGGTAAGCAGTATTTGAATTCATACTGGATCTGCACCAAAGTCAAGAAGTTGACTGTACAGTCTCACCAGACCTATAAATCAGGTGCCCTGAACATACATAGTATTTTGCATTACTTTATAAGGTGTTAGCTTTAATGGTGCAATATATGCACATGGTGGTCAGGTTACAGCTGCTGTGGGAACTATAATTTTGCATGGTCTGACCAATCTGCAGCAGAAAAATACTAATAAGTAAAACAGTCACAGCACTGCATTCCCTTCAGCATGTTTCATACATCCAATTTCACTCCTGTATTTGAAGGAGCAAGAAAATAAGATTCAAATAAAACTGCAGTTGTATAAGAACCAGCTGAAATGGATGAGAATTATCCATCAGCTTTTTCAAGCAGTTTGCATGAAACCTCATGACTCCAAGCTAAGCAAGTGTAACTGCATGAAAATGGATGTGCTCTCAGGCACGGTACATGCACAAACCATACTGTGAGAGTGTCCGTGCCCAGCAGACATGAACGAGTGCATAAGCTCACCTCTGAGTCAGAAGCATCTCATCAAGGAGATATTACAACATACTTTATCATAATGCACCAAAGCCAAACGCAGGCATTCTCCTGCAAGTGACAGGTACAAGGAAAACCAATCTGCAGCTGAGCAAGTTTAACACATCTACTAATGCTGCCTGACTGACATCAAGTTCTTAGTAATACAGTCAGTCTCCTAACCAGGAGGATTACCACCTATTTTCATGAAAAGACTTTGTTCTACTCTTTCTCCAGCCTTCCTTTACTTTCAATCCCACCATTATCTGCCTCCAGGATTTGTACTCAATATATATATATACTCAATATATATATACTAAATATACTATATATACTAAATATATATATATACTCAATATATATATATATATATATGTTTCCCCTCTGTTAATACTCTGCTCACTCCCACAGAAGGCTTTTTTTGGAGTCATCAACCATTATCAATATATCAAAAAAGCTGACTGCATTCAGATTTACTCCCGGTGCATGGATGGACAACAGCTATATAAAAATTAGTCCATCCAGTGAGCACTGGTTAACTGTTGTCAGTGCCCACCATCATGTGGCACAGGCATGGCCCCATGCAACCATGTGGTAATCTTGGTGAGACTAGAGCTGTTCCCACCCTTGCTACCCCCACCCCACTGACAGATTGTAGTCTAATGAAGGTGGTCAAAAGCACAAGAAGCACTTTGATATGCATGACAAGAAAACAAACTGCTGTTAAGTTACTGAAAACAAAGCCCCTTCTCTTTGAGCTTAACCATCAAAATCAATGCCTGTTTGACATTCATGGGATCTGACCACAATTCAATCTCATGTCCAGTACTCATCATCAATTAGTGGATTAAAATAAGGCATAACATTTCTATAAACACACAGCTGAAAATCAACAAATCCGCAAGTGCCATTGGAAATGCCTGACAAGGCTACAGGAATACATTAGCACTTTGGCACACAGAGGCCTTAGTTTATTTGGCACTAACAACTAAAAGCTAGCAAGTGATAACAAGGTTTGATGTAAACCACAACTGAGTCATGGAATCACAGATTCACAGAACTGTTTGAGTTGGATGAGACCTTTAAAAGTCATCTAGTCCAACTCCCTTGCAATGAACAGAGACATGTATAGCTAGATATAGCTGCACAGAGCATGGTGTAGCCTTAAAATCTATGTAATATTAAAGCTCTGGTTCACTGTCTTGCCCTAATGGTAGGGTTCTCAGTGACATCATCATCCTTCCTTACCAAAAAGAATAACATTACAACCATTTCCTGTATACATGTTAAAGAGGACATGGAAAACCATGGGGTATGACCAAGTAGGAAATGAAGATTCATAGGGAAAGCAAGAAATCTGCTAACTGCACCTTTAAAAAAAACAAAGACAAGAGTATCAAGAAAATAAAAAATAATCTGCAAAATAAGGCAGGCAGTTCTATTTTCTGGTACCATATTATCACTTGCAAGCACCTAAAAGCTGTTCTCTGTGCAAGACCTGAAAGGCCAATTTAATATCTGCAAGAATCACACTACAGCAACCTGATTTCCTGGTATCACACCCTTCACGGAAATTCTCATGTGGAGATTTCTCATACACACACTTACACGTGTACTTTATATATATATGTATATATATATATATACAAATCAAGCGTATCCACACATAAACTTACTTACACCCTTGTTATATACACAGACATACATACATATTTTATCATATATGTGCATGCATACCTGCACATATGAATCAAAACACATGCTTAGATTATAGTGCACTCTCAGTACATCTACTGTTTGTTCATTGACAAGCATCCTAGTATATGTAAAAAGCAGGAAAAAGGGTTGTATTTTTGTACGCATACAATTGCTAACCACAGTGTAATGTAGGCGAAGAACACAGGATTCGTGATCTCTCTTAAAATCAAGCACAGAGCTCTGATAAAAACCATCTCACCTACTTCTTGCACTTGGGGTGGGATTTCACTTAGCCTAGAAGACCAGCTTCCAGGGAAGAGTGTACAGAACTGCTCTTTGATAAACTACAGAACAGATAAAACCCTCAGAAAGAAGAATAGTCCCATGGGAACAGAAGAGAATAATTAAACAGGTCTTACATGTCTCTTCTTCCTCAGTGCTGTATCTTCCGCCTCCAAAGATGTCATACACTATTATTTGAAAACCACATCACTGGCTTCAGTGTAGGTCTTGGCGGAGGAACATGCTCCTCAGCATCATTAGTGGGATAGAAAATAGCACTTTCTTAGCAACTGTTACAGACACAGACAAACATGAACTTACTTGTTTGCTACTTCTCTGCCCAGTAGGAAGCAAAGCTTTGGATTTCTCTGCTATTTTCTGTAAAAAGGAAGAAGAAAAAAAGTGAAGGAAAATGGTTGAGAAAACACAATCCAAATACATAGGGAGGAAGTCATAGGGAATTATTTCTTCTACTACTTAAGGAATAAGACAAAGAGAAAAATCTTACTATTTAGAAAAGAAAGGGAGTATAGCCACATGGAAAAGTTTTGGTCCTGCAGAATTAAAAGTCTTCAAAGCTTCCAGAATGACAAGGTTATCAGAACTGAAACGTGTATTTAAGAAATGACAGCTAGGATGTAGATAAGTAGCAATTTACCACTCAGATTGGTTTCCTGACGCAACTGGGCATTCACAAAATGCAGAGGCTAATTTTGTCTCTTCTGAATTGATGACAGTTAAAAAAAAAAAAATGCAGACACACAATTCAGATGGATTGTACTCGTGAACACTAAAAAAGTACAAAAAAGGTGTGTATATATGAGGCTGGAACCCTTTACCTGAATCCTTTCAACTTCTCATTTAATGGGATAAAGACATTTCATTTAAAGCCCCCACACTTGTGTTTATGAATAGGGCAGAAAAAGAGTTAATAGTTGTAGAGATAGTGAAATGATATTATAGTATATACATGCTGTTGAAGAGCAATTTTAGGCACTTATTATAATTTTTTTTAAACCATATCCAGCAAGTATTGGAGAATCAATCAGAGCAGAATGGTTATAATAAGAGAAATTGTTTCCAGCCAAATTTCTTCATACCAGTATAATTCCAGTATATTCTTCCCAGGTGTTGCAGGCATGGAGTATTGCACTAGAGTAGTATGCACTAGAGTATTATGCACTAGAGTAGTATGAGAGATCATGTAGGTTATATTTCTAGAGAATTCAATTAATCCAGATATATGTTCAAATTTGTTATATGCAGGTAGCAGCAGAGGAGAGAGAAGTGTTTTGAGGATGGTAAATTTAAATTGTTACTACAGTGTTTAAAAGCAAAGCAAATCTGCAGAGTGTCCCTAGGGTAAAGTGGAAGAGCAAGATGCAAACGGAAGATCTAGAGTTCAGCATTTGTTTGTTTTATTAAACAGCTTGATCTCCCTGACAGGTCCAACCCACAGGATGTGTTTGGAAACCTTCTGCCAGAGACATAGAGAACAGCAGAGCCATACAGGGGGCTAACAATTAAGGTGAATAGCAGTGTTGCCTGTACATTGTTTGCAACAGAGGTGGAGGGGACATTGTTCATTTACTTCTTGCTCTCCCACTGAGTGGAGAAACACAAAAAAATTGTAATGGCTAAGACAGGGCTACCACTGAATGTCCATCACATAAACAAAGGCACAGTTTTGTTTTTTTCCTCTTCTGTTGTTCTGTCATTGTTGCTCAGCATAGAATTATAAAACCACAGATTATCCCAAGCCAGAAGGAACCCAAGTCCAACTCCTGGCTCCATAGAGAACCACGTAAAATCCAAACTCTGTGTCTGAGAGTGGTGTCCTCAGACTCCAGCAGCTCAGGGCTGTGCCCACTGCTATGGGGAGCTTGATGTTCCATGCATACCAACCTCTGGTGCAGAACCATTTCCTAACACCCACCTGGCCCTCCCTTGGCACAGCTTCCTCATGAGGAACCTGTAGGCCACCATGAGAGCTCTCCTTAGACTCTTCTGCTCTGGGCTGAACAAAGAAAGGGACTCAGCTGCTCCTCATCTATCTTGCCCTCCAGATCCTTCCCCATCTTCATAGCCCTCTTTCAGATGCTTTAGAGTTGGAAGGGACCTTCAAAGGTCATCCAGTCTAACTCCCCTGCAATGAAGAGGGACAGCTGTAGAGATGAGACGAGCTGTACAGAGATGTTCCATGCTCCTAGCAGTTGTGTTAGCTCCCACTTATTGTGTTCCCAAATACACACTCTGAAAGGTAAAAACAAGAGAGCCCCTCACCTTCTGCACAGCTCCGTATCTTTGGATAGCATCAGACAGCTGGTTCTTCAGCCTATCCAGCTGAAGTCGTTCTTGCTGTGTTGGGAGAACAAAGATCTGGTTAGCAAGAGCTAATTCAAGTAGTTGACTCTTTCTTGGGGGTCTGGGGAAGCACAAAGAGCTGAGAAGGGACAGCACTAGGACAGCTGATCTAAACTGGCCAAATGGATATTCCATACCATATGATCATGTGAAGAAACTGTAAATTCATGGGTTTTGGCTAGGGGCCAGCATTGCTCAATGACTGACTGGGCACTGGTTGATGGGTGAGGAGCAATTGCTTTCTGCAACACTTGTTTTGTAAATATAAATATACATACACATAAACACATTATATGAATATATACTATTACCATTACTGTTATTTCTTACTTTTCTGTCTTAGTAAATTGGTCTTATCTCAACCCACGAATTCTCTTTTTTTTTTTCTTCTGATTCTCTCCCCAGTCCCTCTGGGAGAAAGGAAGCAAGCGAAAGGCCATGTGGTGCTGAGCTGCTTTCAGGGTTAAACCACAACATTCAGACAACTGCTTAAGAATATGAAAGTATTTTATAAAGGATAGGATAAACAGCTTTAATTTTTAATGGGAGCATTTTCATACAGAAGAATATTCCCAGTCTTATAGTTCATCATCCAAAGATTTAAAACCATTTTTAGAACAGGGTAAATATCATTATTCCCACTCTACCAATAAAGGCCTATAAACTTTGTTACTTACGCAAAATACGACAAGACAGACACCCTGGAGAGCTGATCTAATGGTCCAGCACTCATTCTACAGAAACACGGAATCCAGATAGGCCTCTCCATTTAAGCCCTTTGAGATTACTTTAAAAGGAAGCCCTAAAATAACCACGTGCTATTTTACATCAATCTCCTGCCTTGCATCACACTGATCCCCTTACATCAGTATCTTTGCTCCTGAAATACTATCAATTTGCTCAGTCAGGCATCCTGACTCCAATAGCTCCAACAGCACCTGGAGCTTCAAGAGAAGTCAGAGAAACTCCCACTGTGCACTTTGCTGGCTATGCATTATAGCTGGAAAACACGGGGGGAAAAGTATATATATTTTTTTGTCCATGGCTGCAGACAAAGCAATACACAGAATAATGGTTGGGAAGGTCTGATTATAAAGCTCTAAATTAATTGAATTATTTTCAAACTGAGAAATTTTATGGGAGGAAAGTTTGAACTGCTACCAAGATCCCCAGTAGGGACTTGCCAACGCAGCAGTTGATACCCACCACAATCATTAATTCTATATAAGGGAGAAGGGCTTCAGGCTTTGTATCAAAATCTGTAGGTTTAATTACTTGAACTGCAAACTGTTGGAAAAGAAGAGTTAAAAATACTAAAAACTGTTAAACGAATTGACCAGGGAGCAGAAAAAGTTATTAGGTGATGCCAGTAGAGAGCGGCAAGTTTATTCCACATATTACTAAAATTGTTTATGTGTCAATTTCCTTCTGGTCTTAAATATTCTCCCTTTAACTTAGCAGTTTTTCTCCACGACAGTAAAGGCTGTTCTGCTGACAGCCTTTCTGCTGGACACAACACTGACTTCAAAGGCTAATACTGATGTTTTTGTATGACATTATAATTAGCTTTAACATGACCTTGCCTGATTTCCCTTTGGACCCAATTTACGTCACGAAACGGTGCCTAGATCTCTATACCTCCAAGAAGAAAACTTTTGTTTCATCAAGGTCTGATGCAATTATTTTCAGAGTGTGCAAGGAAAAAATATAGGCCTTGAAATCCACTATTAATCAAAGAAATGTGCTAATAACCATCAAGTATTACGGCTGATGCCTGCATAAGGTTGATGCTAATAAATGGAAAAGTCATTTAGGGGTGATTTGACTCTTAACTCCTTTTCTCAGGTGCTTGTTTGCAAGTGACTTAAATCTGGACTGTTAAAGGCACTTGGATAAAGGTGAAACTTCTCAACTTTCACACCTGGAGTTTGCTCCCCAGGATTCCATATGTTAAGCTGCTGCTCTTCCCTTCAGGTCAAATTCAACAGGAATGTATGGGATCTAAAAGTCTTTGAGGAAAGGTCAGAAATTATTTGATTGTCACTGGAATCAGGGAATGGGAGACACTCCTACTCCTTTGACAAAAATGTTCATGTGAGTTGAACCGACTGATGACAGAAGACCACTGTGTCCACACAACAGATGAGATCACCGTGGGGTCATCTGTAATACAAAGTTTGGCTCTGATCCAGCCATAGCCTGTAAATATCTGTCCCCACCACTGCCTTCCTTGAAAGAATGCCATATGCAAACATTGCGCTGCTCTGCTCTTTCTGGACTTCTGAGCACATTTATATATTCATCTGCAGCAAGTGCATCTACTGCACTACTGAGTATTTAATCAACTTCAAACTCACGTAGAGATGGATAATCACTGTACTTTCATCCAGATTGCATGAGACCAGTTACAAAATCCCTGCTTTCAAATTCCACATGATCCAGGTTGTGGGAGAAGAACGGATTCCGAAGCTTTTTCCAACAGAAACACAAGCCATGCTTATTGTGTAACAGTAAAGGAAGCCATAACAAGACATGGGGTTCAACAGCTTTAAAGCATTCACTACCCACTTCTCTTTTCTTTATTCCTCCCTCCACAAGCCTCAGCACTCTCTCCCAAAGCATCTTGAATGACACATACCCTGGATGAGCCTCTGACAACCTCAGACAGCTGCTTGATGGCTTTGGTGCTAGTCGTGATGGTTTTATTAGTCTCTTGCTGGGTTGCGTGCCTGCAGAAGAGGAGAGATGATGTGAAATGCAATTGAAATTAATTGCATAATGAATACTTACAGAGCTTCATCAAATTGCAGAGCAGTTGAAACAACACAACATACATTACATGAAGCCATGGTAGGACCATGCAAGTCTTGGGTCCTGAGTAGCAATAACAGATAGGGCTGCAGGAACTCCTAGCAAGGAGCTGCTCAAAACATCCCTCTCTCAACAGCACAAAGAAAATGGCTGTAGACCTACAAAGTCAATGAGGGAAGATAAAGTGGGGATCTAGCAGGTAGCCAGGCCATCACACAAGGATGGTATTGCAACAGAAATTATAAATATAAGGGTTATATAGGAAGGAGAGATGGGATGGGGAAGTTGTTCGATGGCTTGCCCAGAAAACTATGGTTGCTGGGGAGAGAAAGAGGCAGATGATTGAGCAGGACAGATTTCCTTATAATGGTGACCTCCCTGCTAATGACACAGTAGCTCCAAAGAAGCACTGTCTATGCACAGAGGAATATAAAAGCACATCTAAGAACTAAAACACACAGGCAGCAAGCCAAGAGAGTCATGATTCCCTTTTGCACCTCAAATTCCACTACAATGTCTTGTAAGCTGGTCACTGGTATCTCTGGTCAGGACAAAACAAATAGGGGAAAGTGATGTAAGTGCTGCCCATAGGGATTTAGCTCAGCCCAGTAGTTCCCAAGCTTCATAAGGTCAATAGAGTATTTTTAGCCTCTAAAATTCCCCATAGAGAACTTCAAACCATTTTTTTTTTGAGCTTCAAAACCTTTTTTTGAAGAAAGGGGCGGCTTTCAATTATGTTTCAATCAAAAAGTCAGGAAAGGCTCAAAAAAACACCTAAAGAAAATGATCTTTTTCTTCCTTAGAGGACATCTTAAGTCATAGCTGTAGTGAAAAACTCATTTGTCAGCTACTCTTTTTCAGTCAGCAGGATGCAGAGTGAATGGAAGCTCTCTGATTAAAAAAAAAAGGCTCATTAGGACCCTTCTGTCCTGAAAACCCAGGGCATATCTCAATGTTTTAGCTTCTTCCATTGGTGAGGCATTGGAACAGGCTGCTCAAGGAGGTGGTGAAGTTGCCATTGCTGAAGGTTGTCAACAAAAGGGTAGATACAGCACTGAGGGACGTGGTTAGTGGGCACGGTGGGGATAGGCTGCTGGTTGGACTAGATGATCTTAGAGGTCTTCTCACACTTTAATGATCCTATGACTCCCGCTGCTCTGACAGAACTGATGGATCTGAAAGTCTCTTTCAAGACTTTTTTCAATGTTTTCCCTCTCTCCTTTGAGGAACAAGCACAGCCCCAAGCACAGCCTTTACCTAGCACAACTTAGCTACTAATACATTGAGCCTTATCAGTAAGCACTGCGGCAGAGCAGACAGAACAAGAATTGCAACATTCACCACCACAAGCAAGTTCGGATGTTTTCATCCACAAAATCAAGTTCTTTGCACAGACAGAACAGGTGGGAAAACTTCTAGGATAAAAGTACATTGACTTTATGCATTGGACCTACCCAGTAGTCAAGGAAAAGCTTAGCATATCATGACCATGACATCTCTTAGGTATAGAACAGTAATTCAGATGTGTGTTAAGTGTTGAACATGTGCAGAGAAGGCATGGATCCTTTGGCAACACAGAGGAAAGAAAAACAATCTACTGCAAAGACAAGATTGGATCAGATAGCTAGTTTTTCTGAGCTCTGCTTAGTTAAGATAACATTTCTGCATCCATTCATCAAAATGCATTTATTTATGATCGCATGGCCCACAACACCAGCTGACTAATTACATTACCTTTAATTTGAAATAGATGAGGTCATCTCTGCCACAATCAGGTATTCCACATCACCGTCACAAGAGAGGGAGCAGGGAATTGAATCCTGCCCAATCACCTACCCTGAGGACTAAACAATTAGAGTAGTCTCTAATCTTTTAATCAAGTAAATCTTGCCACCAAGTGCATGAATTCCATAAGGAGCCATCTCAAGACAGAGCCTTTTATAATGCTAGAGTTGACGTCCAGTTATTTTGCAGACCTCATTAAATTATCTGCCTGCTGAACACGTCAGGGATTTACGTAGCAGCAATTACTGATCCTCAAAGTAAAATTGTATGTTAGGCTTATGCGTCTGATCCTGCCCAATTTCTAAAGCCAAAAAGAATCTCTTGCATTTGTATTCTAATGCAAATTTGATGTTAGATACCTTATGTAACAAATCCATACATCACACAGACTTCGCAGTGAGTTGCTACCAAAAAAACTCGGTGAGGGAATAAAAAAAAATAGAAGTTCTTCTTTCCACCTCTTAATTCAAAATGCACTTTAACTAACACGCTGGTGCTTGATTTTAGTAGTTCCCACTATGCTGTCAGTTCAATTAACTTCTTATTCTTCAGCCTCACAGATATGCTCAGGAATAAGACACTGATTATATTTAATTTACATTAAATGCTATTAAGATCTTCAATAAAAATAAGGCCTCGAAGCTCCAGTCCCTGCAGGATTTGATTTTAACATGTAATGGTAACAAGATATGTCACTATTATTATTATTATTATTACTATTATTATTATTATTATTATTATTATTATTAGCTTTCTTTATATTCTACTCCCTCACAAGTGTGGAAGGTAATTAAAGGGGTATCTCTGATGAATAGAATTTGCTTCTGAAAAAGCCTTCCACACAACAGTAAGTAAAACAGTCTAAAGAGATACAGAAGACCTAAAATACAAACTTGGTAATGGACTTACCCAGCTACAGCAGCACTGTAAAAATTAGCACTCCAAGAATGGAAAACAAAAGGGCATCTCTTAGGAAGAATAACACCTCTTGCTGTGCATTTCTGTATGCACAGGAATTGCAAAGACAACGCAGTAAATAATACAAGAGATGTCACACTGCTGCGTGAGCATTTCCTACGGCTGCTGTTTTCTTTACCAAGGAACTATTGTCCACCAAATCCACAATCTCCAGCACGCAGCTGCTTACACTGTGTTTTTTGAATGATCGTATCTGTAATTAATTTATCCAGTTTTAAAATGGGCATAGTGAAGATGCAGATGCAGTGACAGCTGCTTCCCTTCTCTGCGGTGACAGACTGAAGGAAAGATAAACACCGTCACTCCCAGCATCCCCCTCATTTGTCCTTTTTTCCCCCAGCTTTTATTGCAAAGTGTGATGCCACATGATGTGGGACATCACTTTGGCTAGTTTGAGTCACCTGTCCTGATGCTGTCCCCTCCCAGCTCCTTGTGTCACCTGGCAGGGCATTGAGGAGCTCAGCCACTCCTGACAATAATACTTGTTCCTAAAGAGCTTTGTTTTCTTTTCCCATAAGGAAATGGAAATTGTAAATATTCATATACAAAGCAGAGAAACCTCATAAGATTCAGCATCCTCTTTGGCACAGCTCAACTGCATTGCAATGGGGAAAGCATTTAAGAGGACAAGTAGGTTTGGGTACAACTATGCCAGGGAGCACAGCATACTTTAAGCCACTCATTTGCCTTTTACACAACAGCTGTAGTTCCCACCACTGCAGATTTTCCTGTGCAAAGGAAAGTAAAAATTGTAATGCATGGAGCAGAGAACTGGGCAGCACGATCTGTGGCTTAAGCAGAAACAGGTGAAGTATCTGCATGTGAATATATTCCATAGTTGTCAGAGGCATAATTACGTAAGGGTGCAACAAGCATGCAGAAGGATATTATTCACATTGTAAGACTTCAGCCGATCTCTTGTCTGTCGTACAGCTGGATTTTGTGAAGGACTGTGGGACCTGATGACAGACCACATCAAACTCCAAAGGTATTTATATAAAACTTCACACATTCGCCACAGGGACATGCAGCAAGGAGTACTTCTATCTAGTCCCTGAAGGCTGTGATTCTTCACTCTCCACCTAGCCAAAGTGTTACACTTCAGAGCAAAGCCAATGGAGAACCTTCATGGTCTGTGAAGGGGGAACCCCCATGGACGCTGCAGGGAAGCCTATGCCTACACTACAGCAGTAATCCACACCTTTTGGGTGTCTCCCACACAGCTGGGCTGATCCTACAGCAGAGCTAAGGATATTTCGTAGAACCACAGAATTACAGAATCATAGAACGGCTTGGAAGGGACCTCAAAGACCATCTCATTCCAGTCCTCCTGCTGCATGCATGGCTGCCAACCACTAAATCAGGCACCAGATCAGGCTGCTCAGAGCCCCATCCAACCTGGCAATTTGCAGGCTGATGCGTCCAACACTTAGGTTAGCAAACACTTCACAACAGGATGGAAAGATATGCTGGATTATATTGCTGTAATTCTGCCCACAGCCAACACTGTGCCTCATCCCCTGGGGCTGCAAGTAGAAAGAGATGGAAGCAGTGGGCATCTCTCATCTCCGAGTATTTATTGCAGAGGTAAACAAAGCAGAAAGATGAGCTAGGAGGAATAGTTGCTTTACCAAGCCTTAAACTATCTTTATTACTGTACCATTAAAGCCACCAAAGGAAGAAAAGCTAAATCTACTTGTACAGTCTCCACAGTGATGCTCAAACTTTTTTTTTTCTTTCTTCTTTAGAAACTGCTGCTGCATGTTGAGGAAGCATTTACAACAGACTAAAATAAGAGCTCTAATTCTGTTCTGTCAGCAAACCCCTTTGCATAGGTGTAAATCATCCAGCCAAGTAAAAGCCAGGAGAAAAAAAAAGACTGTTACTTCCAAGATTCAAGCGACACAATCTTCTATAATAAAAGAACCATAGATTTCCAATTTGCTTGTCACTTCAAAGTATTAGGAAATGTGGTGCTCTCATTTCTCTACAAGGAGCATAGGGGATGGCCTGTGGTTGTTTGGGAAGAGAAAGGGTATTTTACCTGGCACTATGTCATCTCTGGAGATGAACATGGCTATAGGTTAGCAGCTACTTTATTCAAAGATTCTGAACTAAGACATATTGCTTGCAGTCAGATAGTAGCCTTCACAGA